AGATTTTTAAATAGCTCTAAAATGTCTCCTTTAACAGCAAACCGTTCGCCATAGGGAATGCAGAGCAGCTGGCACCAAACTGCCAGCACTGGAAACAACTGGTACACCTGGTAGGCTCAACGCACTGGTGCGGGACGACATCCGACCCTTCGTAGGAGCCTTGATGATTTAACAGCAAAGTGGGACAGATTGGAAAAACTTCACAAATACTCAAAAACCTCATTATTATTGTACCTCCTCTCACATTTTTCTGGAGTGTTTTACGGATCAAAAACAGTCATAAATATGTATGTAAAGCTCTTGTTTCTTACTGTCCTGCCTCATACAGAAAGAGGTCCTGCAGGTGGTGAAAAGATCTCAAAGACATAAACAGGAAGCAGACTTCTTTTGGCCTCATTTTTCCCCTTTCTGTCTATTTTTATCCTCTCAGGATCTGGAGTAGCCCTTATGTCCAATTTTGAGCAGCTGCTGCGCGGTGTGTGGAGGCCTGAGACCAACGAGGTCCTCAGCATGTCATTGTGAGTGTGTGTGTGTGTGTGTGCGTGTGTAAAGTACAATTCTACCTGCATTCTTCACAAGGATTTGTAAAGAAAACTTTCTTATATTGGACAAGGATAGAAGACCAAATCAGCTCCATCAGCAGCAGTCTGCTGTCCAACTGAATGACTGTTTATGTTCTCTCCAGCCCAACTAAGGCCAGCCTGTATGGAGCAATCCTTTTCACACTGCAGGAAGCTCACTGGCTGCCTGTGTCCAAGAGCACCCTCATCCTTGTTTTCACCCTCTTTATGGCCACGTGCAAGGTAAGATTCAAATCATGTGTTCCTGTGAGAATGTGATTCAACAAAATCAAATGTCCAGTGTTTAAATCTATCTGGGCCTGCAAAGACACTGTTCTGTTATATGTGGGTCAGAGCTCTCGTGTTTTATATTTAGCGTGTGCTTTGGGCGAGTCGTGATGAGCAGGTCAGAAAGAGTTCAGACCTTGACTTCGGGATTCATTTTTTTGTAATTTATTTCTTCAGAAAAATTACTACAACAAAACACCAGAAATTTATAGCACACTTGTGATCGAACCTGCAACCATCCGATTACCGGACAGCCCGCTTTATTGTACTGATCGAGTGCAGCGGACCAGTAACACAACTCAACAGCGTGCATGCGCGTGCACACACACACACACACACACACACACACACACACACACACACACACACACACACACACACACACACACACACACACACACACACACACACACAAATGGTGCATGTGTGTGTGTTAAGACACTCATACTTAGTTTTCTGCTACATTTAAGACATTAGTTTTAACTAAGGGTGTATGTGTACATTCTGTGTGTGTGTGTGTGTGCTAAACTAAGTTAAACTAAATTAAACCCTTCATTACTTGTTCATCCAAGAAGAGGGTCCACATAGGTATCTTATGGGCCATTCCCATCTGTACCGGGTCGGCCCGGGCCGGGTAGCGTAGGTTGTTTACATATCTGGGTGGCCTGGTATTTTTCCGGGCCAACCAAGGCTCATTCTCAACCCTCTTCTCGAGGGAGTCTGCTTCAGGCCGACCAGGGCCGACACACCCACTGCTGACAGCAAATTCACACCTTCCATTAGAGCAAGCCTCTGATTGGTGGGTAGAATCAGCCCATTCACACCTTCCATTAGAGCAAGCCTCTGATTGGTGGGTAGAATCAGCCCACATGGGCTTAAGACAAGGATGTGTGGAATCAACCGGGCCAGGCTGGGGCCGACTGGGGCTACCCGGCCCGGGCCGACCCGGTACAGATGGGAATGGCCCATTAGATCCATCAAACATTAATCTCTGTAATTGTTATGCAATTTTATGCACTCACTCACTCACTCACTCACTCACTCACTCACTCACCTTGTTAACCACTTTATTCTCCTGGTGGTGGAAACCCGATTAAAGACTCGCACGCTTGGGGAGAACATGCAAACCTCACATGGAAAGGCTGCAGCTGGGATTCGAACCTAGCACCTTGTTGCTGCAACAGTGCTAACCAGCTGTACCACCATGAAGCCCAAACCTGATTCATTTGCAGCTAATTTCATTTCCCATTGTCATCCACAAAGATTTCACATTTTGCAAAGCGGGACACTATTCAAACCCTAACAGACCAGCGATAAATCACAGTTAGGCATCAAGTCAATGTATTTTTTAATTTCTGAGAAAACACAAACTGCAGTTTGAGCCTGATGCTGTGTTTACAGTTTACACATCTCACACACTTTCAGTGTTGTTATTTCATGCGTGAACAACAAATGAACAAACCAGTTGCTGACAGCTCAGATAAAGAGCCAGCTCTGTGCAGAAATCAAGACTTTCCTGATCAATTGGGGAAGAAATATGATTTCTCATTCTTCATTCTGTAAGCATAGCATCACTGATCAACCAGCAACCCAGCTCCCTTCAACACTAAGATTCATTAGTCGTAATCATTTCTTTTTTTTTTTACATCAGTTCAACCTTGAATAACTAAAAAATAAACACATGTATCAGTAACTGTCCTCGTTAGATAAATCAAACACGTAGATCTAAGTGTGTCCGTGTCTTTGTCCTCTCAGGTGGTGATGACCGCCCGTCACTCTCATGGCTCTCCCTTCACGCTCATTGAATCCTGGGTTTGCCACCTGCTGTTCGGTTCTCCTCTCTCCACCAATGAGGAAGACAACCACCATGCTCCTGCCGCCGCTGCACCAACTTCTCCTCTGAAAAGCAAAGAGGAGCTGAGTGAAGGCGCTCGCAAGAGGAAGGCCAAGAAAGCCGAGTAGGACATCACGAAACTGTGTCTGATTTTCCCGGACATTGTCTGCGTGATGGGACCTCCTGTTCCCTTTTCGGAGGAGCGAGGCAGTTTGTTCTTTCTACAAAGAGCCTTTCTGTTGGAGCAACACGGTGCTTTCATTTTACATAGGTGGAGGACTCTGTAAATACCAAGGAAAAGGTCTCACACCACAACCTGACCTGGATTTGTATTTGTGTGTGAACAGCTGTGCTGACTCAGGAGCGGCGTGGTCTCATTAGGACGACCACGGGTCCTCATCGGTGTTACAGGATGTAGGTGGTTTCCTTTTAGTCCGTGAAAGTATTTTAAAAGTTCAGGAAGGAAATAAAATAAATTCATTTTGAATCATTCAGAAATGTAAATGAGAACAAAGCATTATGTGAAAGAACAGTTTTGCTTTTTACACTGAAAAAAAAGAGATTTTCTTTATCTTTAAATAAAATAAAGAAAAACATTGAATTCTGGTGGTTTTTGTTTTTATTTTCAAAACACTTAACCTAAAATGAAGTTTGAGCTTACATGCTGCAGTCTGCTTCTAGCATGTTTCCTGCATGTTTTAGATCATGAACACAGCTGATCTCTTTAATTTAGAGATTAATTGCTCCAGTAGAAACCAATGAAGGCTGAGGAGATGTTTCAGCTGTTAGATTAAAGTGTTAAAAAGACAAACTCACAGCGAGGAGATAGATTTGGCCTTCAGTTTGGCCAGAGTATTAATAATGGACACTAGGGAGTGCTAAAAGCAAGCAAAACTGCCTAGTGTGCCTTTAACTCCTCTGCCAAGGTTGCTCCAACATGAACACTTGCAAACTTTAAGTATAAGAGAACCACAAAAACTAACTCATAACCTGAAGATTCCATGAGAACAGAGTTTTTAAGGAATAGCCAAGAGAATCTGGCAAAGAGGTGAAGAAACTGAGGACTATTTGTGCAGGAAGGGGTGAAAACTAGATGGGAACCTCAAAGCAGTACACCTGATTAATATCTGATGCACACTCACTAAACTCATTTTGCACAAATTATAAATGTTTTAAATGTGTTTGCAAAATAAATGAAGTTTTTGCATTTAAGGCATGATAAGTGTGTCTTTTAGCTTCTGACTGCTTAAAAATTTTTGTTTTTGATTAGCATCTTTTCATTCAAGCAGCTGCTTCCCTAACGGCACAAATAAATGCAAAAATTAAATAATTTAACACATCTTCACATCTAGTTGTAGTTGACATGATGGACCTCTAAGACTGGAAACAGGAAAGGTCTGAGGTGCACCTGAGGTCACATCCCGACATGAACAATTTGGTGACAGGAAATGAAGGCTTATGCATTTGAAGGTTACAGTTTTACGTGTCAGATACCATCTATGTGTAGAGTTGAGTGAGTTTATATGTCATGCTATGGATTGTGCACAATAATTATTGCAAGGCATGGTATTTGACCATCTGCAAACATTTGACTGAAATGCCACTTTTCTCCAGAACAAGGGGTTAGATTTAGTTTGCAGAAACAAGGATCTACTTTGGAATAAGATGTTCTGCAGCTGAACAAACCCTGTTAATGAGCTTTAATTGCTAAAATCTGTTGGGTTTTATTGCTGATTAATTTACAATTTGGTTGGAATTTTTGGTCATGAAATAGAAAATTCAGGGTGACACTAAAACAATGAGCAGTTTTACGTTTTGTTAAAAACAACTTGTTGAGAAATGGCAGTTTCCAGAGTTCAGTTTGAAGACAGAAAACTGGTGTTTTTATTTATTTATTTATTTGCAGATCTCCACGATGAGACTTTCCTGCTTTCTTTGAGCAAGGCAGGAACTGAGATCAGGAAACACTGGAGGTGATGACTGTCGAAGACACTCAAACAGAAACCCAAAATGCTCAGGAGAATGTCAGCAACATCTGCTGTTCCTATCACACACACACACACACACACACACACACACACACACACACACACACACACACACACACACACACACACACACACACACACACACACACACACACACACACACACACACACACACACACACATACACACACACACACACACACACACACACACACACACACACACACACACACACACACACACACTCACACACACACACACACAATCTTGTATTTCTATCCATGTTAGGAATTTGTATTGACTTCCATTCATTTTAGTAACTGCATTCATGCCTAGCTCAAACCCTTACCCTAGCTAGTGTATTCCTGAACTTAACTGTAACAAAAGCTCAATTGACATCTTATGTGTAAACCTCACCCCTAAGCCCCACACACACACACACACACACACACACACACGCACGCACGCACGCACGCACGCACACACACACACGGTGCGCGCTTGCGCGATATGTGTTACGCACTTCAGGGATTCGCCGCTCACAAAGCCTGTTTGTGCACTACAGAGACTCTTCCCTTGGGCAGGCGCTGTCGACCCAGCGTCTTTCACACTGGCTGTGTGACGCCATTTCACTCGCTTACACATCATCAGGGCGGAATTCTCCTGAGACACTCAGGGCTCACTCAGCCAGAGGGATTTCCTCTTCTATGGCACTCCACAGTGGTGTGTTGATGGAAGATATTTGTCAGGCTGCTTCATGGGCTTTGCCCTGTTCCTTTACTCGTTATTATCTACGAGATGTGTCTTCAGGATCCATCACTCGTTCAGTGCTTGGACCTCAGCAGGCTGAGTGAAAGCATTATGGCACCTCATCAGCCCTGCCTGAATGAATTTCATCCTCTTGTGGATGATATTTTTAGTGGGGGTCCCACTCTTCTCTCTGGCTGCCTCAGCCTTTTAAGCCCTGGGCTGAGGCTGAGCGACCCTCGCTAAAAGG